TGGGGATTTTAACACAGTCCCATCAGAGGATACGCTTTTAAACTATCCATAGTGACATCTTCTTGCATTCACGCAAGACATCTTCATCACGTGCCCACTCCGAGCCGGGCACTGTCCCAGGCATGGGTTTCAGTGATAATATAAATAAAAGATAGAGAATTCCCAGCCTTCACGGAGCCTCACGTGCTATTTGGGAGAGACAGACAACCAACAAGTAAACTATACAGGCCAGTGTGTGAGGAGGGTGCTAAGTGTAGAGGGAACAAAGGAAAGGGGCATAAGGGGAGGGGGAGAGAAGAAATAAAATAGGGTGTCTGGAAGGCTTCGATGAGAGGGTGGCATTTGAGGAAAGGCTGAAGGAAGAGAGGGAGGGAGCCAGGAAGAGATACGTGGGGGAACAGCATTCCAAGCAGAGGGAACAGCGAAAGAAAAGGGTTGGAGCCAGCCTAGGAACTTGGGCTTTTACTCTGAACGGCAAGAGAAGACACTGGAGCAGCCAGGGAGACAGACTGGGAGGTTACTGGGAGGAGGTGATGGGGTGTGGCCCTGGGTGGTAAGAGTGAATGGTGCGAGAGAGTTGGACTCTCGGTCTATTTCAAAGACTGAGCCCACAAAATCTCCTGGCGGATGGTCTAGGAGTGAGAGCTAAGGGAAGGAGAGGGAAATGACCCGAGGTTTCATGACGGCTTGTTTGATTTGTCCCGGGGCAACTAAAATGCTGGGACCTCTAGCGGCTGAGACGCAGGCTCCAGGAGAAGCAGGTTTGGATGAAGCAGTGGAGGGTTAGGGTGCTTTAAGTGGGAGGCAGCTGCGGGTCGCCCAGGTGGAGGTGTGGGCTAGACAGGAGAGGAGCCCCTGGTAGAAAGAGCACAGAGAGGTCACCTAAAGGCGAACAATCGAGGGCACGGGCCACGTGTAGGTAAAAAGACTAAGTCTGAGCTTCAGCTCGGAGGTTTGGATTATGGACAAGCCATAGCAATTACTGATTGGGACAGTCTCTCCGCTGCCAAAAAGGAAACCAAGTGACGACAGTTAAAATTTACCACCTAAGCCACACACTCCGTCAGGTTAATGATGCGCAATTTGTCTGGTTCACCGCGCGTCCAAGGATACAGTGTTAGGGCCTTCTGGGGACTAGCCACATAACTGCAGGCAGCTGCTCCCCTTCCCACTCCACAGCCCCCCACGCAGTAGCATGGACACGCCTGGACAAACACCGTCCGGGCACTGCCCGCGGCCTCCATGAAGCGACGGAGTGTAAACTAGAGAACAAAGATGTGAAGATACTGGGATTTTTGAGTTAGGAGAGTTGCCTTTCATTACGCTTTTCTATGTTTACATGAAAAAAGTCAATGTATACTTGATTACTTAATCACCTAAACTGGTTAGGATCTCCGCTAAGGATGAGCACTTCTCCACCATCTTCTCGAATGGGGATGGTCTTAGAATGTTTCCTGTCCCATTAAAAAAAAAAAAAATCACTTAAATGTATGTAATTTGTAAAAGCTTCATCCAATGAGACATTCTCCAGCTGCATAAACATTTCTGCCTTTGGAAATATGAAAATATAGACCTCAGTAATCCCTCTATCCTTCCACTGATTCTAACTCATCCTCGATTATACTAAAGAAGTAAGGCCGTCGGAATCAAAGCTGCATGCTTTCACTGCACACTCACAGGTATTATCTGATTTAATGCTGCCCACATAACTGGCGTTCACCGTATAGATTGGAAAACTGACGCCAAGGAAGGTCAAGGGTCACAGAGCTGATGAGTCATAGAAGCAGAATTTGCTCTCTTTTTCCAAACCCAGGGAGCGTTTCTTGGCACAACAGCTGCTTACCATGAAATGTTGTTTTCTTGTTTAATTATAAACCCTCCCAAGCATGGTTCTAGTCCACAGACACTTGTCTGGTTTCCATTAATAAAACCACGATGTCATATGCGTTCCTAAAGAGGTTTATGAATTGCAAAGTCATACATTCACTCTGTAATTCAAGGCCTAATTCAAAGGGCACTGACTGGTGCCCACTCCGTACAGATGCTATGCCCTTCCTCTCTCTGAGACTCACACCCGTGGTATGTGGTTCCAGGCTACTGCAGCCTAGATGTCCACCGTTAGCAGGTCTCACTTGGAACAGAGGTTGCTTGTACCGTTTCCCCGAAGCATTTCTCACCATTACTTGCAGTCTCCATTCAAAACTCTAGTTAGCACTGTTTTCTGACAACTATGCAATCAGCCTCCTTGGTTTATATAAATAATTTATATCGCAAGAACACTTTTTAAAAATTCACTAGTGATAAAACCAATGTTAACAAAGAAGACCAGATTTCTTTCATTATATTTTTGACCGTTTCACTCCATTCAACAGATAGTCTAAAACCACTGTGAGTGTTAACAAAATGAATACACCCTGAGAAAGTATACTGCTCGCTAGCATCCGAAATACTGCAAGATATAAAACGAATGCAAACTATATTTCCTTTCCCTCTGCTCCAAATATCTGTCCATAAACATTGGCACACACAGAGGACTATATTGTGTCAGTTGTAGTAATATAGAAAAATAATCTCAATTACCATAAGCTAGAAAGTTGTGGCAACTAGTCTTTCAAATAAATCACCATGTGTCACAATTTGGCATAAACTCCGATCCTTATGAATAATTCACATGGTGCACATTAATAATGCATGTCCTCTCCCTACTGGAATGCTCCCTAGTGCAGAAGGGCTGTCTCTGAACAATTTCCTCAATTGACATGATGGAGTTCATCTAAAATTAGAACGGTGTTTCTAATGCCGCCTTTACTACTGTAACACCCTGGCTTGCCCATAAGGTTATCGAGAATATGAAGTTCCCATTATCTCCTGCCTTTCCCTGAGAGTCCCTCAGCTAGGTACCCCAACAATAGTTGCTCCCGCTGATGAGCTTATCTGCATAGCAAAAAACGGAAATCAAAGAAACTTAGGCAGGGCCCTAGGGATTGGTTAGTTCTGCGACATTTCTCCCTAATTATCTATTCACAATAACAGGGGATGCAACTGCTAAAGGG